TGGTGTAATAAAAAGAAATGTTTGTTCTGGTACAGCCACTATGGAAAACAGTATGGAGATTTCTCAAAAAGTTAAAAATAGAAATACCCTATGACCCAGCCATACCATTACTGGGTATCTATCCTAAGAACCTGATAACAGATATCTCAAGAGTCCGTTGCACCCCTATGTTCATCGCAGCATTATTTACAATAGCCAAGACGTGGAACCAGCCTACATGCCCAGAAACTGATGACTGGATAAAGAAGATGTGGTATATATACACAATGGAATACTACTCAGCCATAAAAAAGGACGAAATTGGCCCATTCACAACAACGTGGATGGACCTCGAGGGCATTATGTTAAGCGAAATAAGTCAGTCAGAGAAAGACGATCTCTATATGACTCCACTCATAGGTGGAAATTAGTATATTGAGAAGGAGATCTGATCGGTGGTTACCAGGGAAAAGGGGGGGTGGGGGGAGGGTACGAAGGGGGAAGTGGTGTACCCACAACATGACTAACAAAAATGTACAACTGAAATCTCACAAGGTTGTAATCTATCATAACATTAATAAAAAAAAAAAAAAAGAAAAAAAAAAGAAATGTTTGTTGAAGAGATGTAAGTTTCCAGAAGTTCTAAACTTCTGGAAAAAAAGTTTGGTAATATTTTAAATCTGAAAGATTTAAAAATATATATATGATTACTACTTTAGGTTTAGAATCTTTTCATTGTATTGATTCTTCTGTGAACTAATTGTTCCTCTGAATTTCACATTTTTCACTTGCGTTCATCTCTATTTTTAATTATACATTTTCAACTATGTTGTATATTCACTGTTCAAATCTCAAAATAAATAAAAATTATATTTATCATGAAAAGTCTTACTCCAACCATACCCCTTTACTACTTATTTTCTTAGTTCTTAAGTATCCCTAAAGTTTCTTTATGCAAATACAATCAAATATAAATATATATTCTTATTTTCCCTTTTTGTTACACTATATACACTGTTCTGCACTTTTTAAAATTTTAGTGCATCTTGGAAATCTTTCCATTTTAGCATATAGAAGGCTTCCTTGTTCTTTTGTTTTTATACTGCTTAGTATTCCATCATATTGATATACCATAATTTATTTTTCCAGTCCTCTGTTGATGGACATGTGTTGTTTCCAAATTTTTGCTATTACTAATGATGCTGCCTACTAATGCGTTTGAACATGTATAATTTTATTCCCTGGCAGGTGTACCAAGATAAATACGCAGAAATGGAATTATAGAGTCAGAGGGTAAATCCATGTGTACTCATGTTTGATGGATATTGTCAAACTGATCTCTATAAGGGAGGTATGAATTTTCACTCCTACTAGCAATGTATGAGATTTTTGCCACCCCAAGACGTGATAAAGCCCTGTTTTCTTTTCTTGTTGTTGTTGAGGTATAATTGACATATAACGTTACATTAGTTTCAGGTGTACAATATGATGTTTCAATATTTGTATATACTGCAAAATGATCACTACAATAAGTCTAATTAGCATTGGTCACCATACATAGTTACAAAATTTTTTCTTATGATGAGAACTTTTTTTTTTATTGAGTTATTGATAGGTTACAATCTTGTGAAATTTCAATTGTACATTAATGTTTGTCAGTCATGTTGTAGGTGCACCACTTCACCCTTTGTGCCCACCCCCCACCCCACCTTTCCCCTGGTATCCACTAAACTGTTCTTGGTCCATAGTTTTAAATTCCTCATATGAGTGGAGTCATACACAGATTATTTTATGATGAGAACTTTTAAGATCTGCTCTCTTTGCAACTTTCAAATATGAAATACAATATTATTAACTATAATCACCATGCTGTATTACATGCCCAGAACTTATTTATTTTTATTAACTGCTTTCTAGTTAATCAAAGATGATTTTATAGCAACAGTAATAGATGCATTTGTAGGTCTCTTTTCAGTTTACAAAGAGCTTTCTTATCCATTATGTTAAAATAGTAACCAATATTTATTGAACACTTACAAAGTATCAGGCTAGTGGGTAAAAGCAACTTGGAATAGAACTAACTGAATCTGAAACTCAGCTCCAACCCTTACTAACTATCTGAGCAAGTATCTCTTTGTACCTATTTCTTTATTTATAAAACAGGAAGGATTACAATGTACCTATCTCAGTAGGCAGTGTTGCCCAGTTAGACACTAACACATGTAAAGCCCCTAAAACATTGTATGCCTGGGGCTGCCCGGTGGCCGAGTGGTTATTCGCATGCTCTGCTTCAGTCACCCACGGTTTTGCCAATTTGGATCCTGGGCGTGGATATGGCACCGCTGGTCAAGCCATGCTGAGGCGGCATCCCACACGGCAGAACTAGAAGGACCTACAACTAGAATATACAACTATGTACTGGGGGGCTTTGGAGAGAAGAAGAAGAAAAAAATAAGGTGTCAGCTTTGGCCACATGCCCGAGTTGCTCAGTATCCGTGGGGTTCTCCCATGTATCCATGTTACTAAACTTGCTTGAAAAAAAAAAAGTGTGAAAACCTAAAAAAAAAAAACAAAACCAAAACAGTGTATGACAAATGTGGACAGTCAATAAGTGCTGTTAGTGTTATTCCTGAACATTTCCGTGAGGCAGGCTTTGTTCCCACTTTATACATGAGTAAACTGGTAGAGAGGTTAGGTCGTAGAGTTGTAAGTGATGGAGCCAGGATTTTAACGCATCTGCTTCTTCCTTTTCTCTGATTTGGCAGCATAGGACACTCAGGTTTGGCCAGTATCGCAAGTATGTGCTGGGTGGTGGAGTTGTAAATGTTTAACACCCAACTAGCTGGTAAAGGAGGGGGGCGAGTGTGTATATACAGGGCTGTCTGCATGGCTATGTGACCTGTGAGGTCGTAATGTTGTGTCTTGAAGTTCTTAATGATTTTTGAACAAAGGGCCCTGCATTTTTATTCTGCACTGGGCACGAAAATTATGTAGTCAGTCCTGTGTACATATACATTATATGTGTATTACAACTTTATGTGTTATATATGTTATTACAACACATATAAAGGATGTGTAGCACACAGCTTACTAACAGCAATAAAATACACAATGTTCTTTATTGTAACGGGCAACCTTCCATATGGCAGGTTGATTCTAACAGTATGCTTTTTTTGATATTATGCAGCCTCCTTATGGCTGCAATTGACCAATAAGTATAGTTTCCACATGAATGTTGGTTGATATTTTCTTTTATGTTAATGAGTAAGAGGAAAATGAGAGAATCAAGAGATATGTTGAAACTTCACTAGTTTGTCAATGACATTAGAAGCTTTTTTGCTGAATTGGATAATAATTTTCCAATACTAGAAGAATATTTCCTCAAACTTTTGCTGGTATTCACCAAGTAACAGCTACAGAGTTGACAGACTTTTAAGTTTAATCTGCATTATTAATTTTTCCTTGTCACTTTCTTAAGTCTAGATGATCAACAAAACAATTATCAAGCATTTGCTGATTTGTGCACTAAAAATACTCCCATCATGGGGCCAGCCTAGTGGTGTAGTGGTTAAGTTGGCACACTCCGCTTCGGCGGCCTGGGGTTTGTAGGTTCGCATCCTGGGTGTGGACCCACACACTGCTCAATAAGCCATGCTGTGGCGTGTCCCACGTACAAAATAGAGGAAGATTGCCACAGATGTTAGCTCAGGGACAATCCTCCTCAAGCAAAACGAGGAAGATTGGCAATAGGTGTTGTTAGGTCAGGGCCAATCTTCCTCACACACACACACAAACAAAACACCAAACCACCTTACTCCCATCGTGGCAGATTTCAAGCTACCAATGGATGTCACTGAATGAAAAGCTGGGAAGAGATGAGCAGTAGCACATTATCATGTAGTATTTCCACAATGCAGATACGACAGATGTAAACAATCTGAAGAGTATAAATACTAAAATGTAGTGATTATCAGTAAAATGTAGTGATAATTAGAAAGTAATGTTTTGAGTATTTTTTACCTTTGTTTTTAATATGGTTTAACTATAAGTTTGTGTAATTTAATTTTTAGTAATGGCTGTGCTTAATGACCTGCTCACAAAATTCCTGAAACTTTAACAATTGGCTCTCTCCAGCCAGAACCAGCTACAGATGCCGACATAAGCTCCCAGAAGGTGGGCAATGGAGACACAATGGCCACCTGGTGGGGAGGGGTGGAGGGAGGTTATTTGCATGAATAAGTAAATAAACCAGACTATGGAATAAAAAGGCAGGCAGGCAGTACATGGCATATGGTAAATGCTGATGTGATTATTACTGGAGCCAATACTTTCTTAGACATTATTTTCCATTTCAGAGCTTCAAGTTTCCCATTTAAAAGGGAGGGAGCGGATAATTACACCTTTCTCACCGCCCTCAATGCGTTCCCTGATTTTTGTCCATTTTGCTCGCTTCTGCATATCATAGTAAGTGCTCAATAAATGCTTGTTGCATACAGCAGGCTCTCAATAAATGCTTGTTGGACGAAAAAATGAATGAGCCCTATTTAGGTGAGTGAAAGCTCTTGGTGAGTCGTAAAGCGATAAGCATTCGTGGGCGTTTTTGTGATACTAAATGAGGCTATTTCCAGCGGGTCTGGAGAAGCTACGGGCGCGAAACTTCGGAGAGAGAAGGACTGGAGTCCGCGGCCGCCGCCGGTCCGGCCCCCGCCCGGCAGGGCCCCGCCCCGCCCCGCCCCGCCCCGCCCCGCCCGGCCCAGTCGGCGCCTCAGCCCCTGTTTCCGGGCGGGCCTCCAGAGGCGGGCGCACAAGATGGCGGCCCCGGTACGCTGGGCTAGGCGCCTGCAGCTTGGCCTTGGGCTCTAGCCCGGGGCTGAGGCCCAGAGGCAGGCTTCGTCTAGGCGACAGGAGGCCGAGGCGGTGCCGCCGGGCCGCGTGGGGTGCTAGGCCGCTCTCTACTGTCCCCGGGCCCCGCCACCTCTCCAGCCCTACCCGGGGCGGAACCGCAGGAAGGTCAGGTCCGGCCGCCCCGCCCCGTCCCTCTTCGCCGCAGGGCGGTCGCTGTTGTGTGGGTGGCTCACTATTAACGTTGACTTCAGCCACGACCCATGGCGGCCTCGCAGGTCCCAGGGGAGAAGATTAACATCCAGGCGGGAGAGACGGCCAAGGCTGGGGACAGGGACCTCCTGGGGAACGACTGTCTGGAGCAGGACAGGCCCCCCCAGCGCTCCTGGAGGCAGAAGTGCGCCTCCTACGTGCTGGCTCTGCGGCCCTGGAGCTTCAGTGCTTCCCTCACCCCGGTGGCCCTGGGCAGTGCCCTTGCCTACAGATCCCAGGGCGTCCTGGATCCCAGGCTGTTGGTGGGGTGTGCCGTGGCTGTCCTGGCTGTGCACGGGGCTGGCAATTTGGTCAACACTTACTATGACTTTTCCAAGGGCATTGACCACAAAAAGAGTGATGACAGGACCCTGGTGGACCGAATCTTGGAGCCCCAGGATGTTGTCCGGTTTGGCGTCTTCCTCTACACTTTGGGCTGTGTCTGTGCCGCTTGCCTCTACTATCTGTCCCCTCTGAAACTGGAGCACTTGGCTCTCATCTACTTTGGAGGCCTGTCTGGCTCCTTTCTCTACACAGGAGGTAAGAATTGGCCTGTTTCCTGTGCTGCAAGTCTTGGTTGCATGTCCTGGAAACTGCTGCTTTGCATAGGAGTTATAGGTCTAGAGGAGAGGGATCAGAGGTTCTTTTCTGAACCAGGCCATTTACATGACATCTATAGTGTGTGGGTCATGTGGATTTTTTGAAAACAGTAGTGAGTTGAGAAGATCCTGGCTTGACTTATGGGTGTTAGGAATGACACATACGTATGGAAATTTTGGGTACATTAGTCCCCCTTATCTGCGGTTTCAGTTACCTGCAGTCAGCTGAGGTTCAAAAATATTAAATGGAAAATTCCAGAAAGAAACAGTTCATAAGTTTTAAATTGCGAACTGTTCTGAGTGGCTTGATGAAATCTTGTTCCGTCCCGCCTGGACTTGAATCATCCCTTTGTCCCGCAGAGCCACACTGTATATGCTCCCTGCCTGTTTGTCACTTAGTAGCCATCTTGGTTATCAGATCGACTGTCTTGGTATCGCAGTGCTTGTGTCCAAGTCACTGTTATTTTACTTAATAATGGCCCCAAAGCACAAGAGTAATGATGCTGGCAATTTGGATATGCCAAAGAGAAACCATAAAGTTCTCCATTTAAGTGAAAAGCTACGAGTTCTTGACCTCATAAGGAAAGAAAAAAAATTATGTGCTGAGGTTGCTAAGATCTATGGTAAGACCAAATCTGTCACATTTTGAGGTAGGAAAAAAATTTGTGCTGGTTTTGCACTTGTACCTCAAGTATGTATGTATATGGGAAAAAATGTAGTATCTCCATTGTCTAGGGTTCTGTATGATCTGCAGTTTCAGGCATCCACTGCGGGTCTTGGAACGTATCCCCCGTGGATAAGGGGGACTGCTCTGTCTAGTTTCCTTTTGTTGGTCCTACCTTATAATGCCACAGTTTCCAATTTTAGTGGAATTTAATTTGTAGAACTCCAAATTATATAGCTGATTACTTTCAGCTCATTTGCGAGGTGAGTCCTTGCAGCAGGTTGATTAAGGCGGTGATAGGAAGGTGGTTAAGCCCTATTGAGTGACTCTTAGGAGCCAGGCACTGTTCTACATGAACACAGCAGTCACAGGTCCCTGCCCTTGTGGAAGTTATTTTATATATTGTGAGGAGAGACAGAAAGTAAAAATAGTAAGTGTAGTTAGTAAATTATAGTTAAGATGACCAATGTCTTGCTTTGCTCGGTGCTGAGAGGGTTCCCAGGATGTGGTACTTTTGGTGCTGTAACCAGGAAAGTTCCTCGTAAGCCACGATGGATTGGTGTCCTGATTATAGTATATGAAAAGATGTTAAGTACCATGGGGAAAAAAGTGAGTAGAGCAAGGAAGGAGGACACAGCTGACCATTTTAAGTAGTTTGATTAGGGTAGACCTCATCAGAAAGGTAATGTGGGCAAAGATTGAAGGAGGTGAGAGGTGAGGGTGTTGGCTAAGCAGGTAGCTGGAAGAAGAGCTTTCCACATCTTGGAATGGCAGTTGCCAAAGGCAGGAGTGTCCCTGAAAAGCTTGCGGAACAGCACAGAGTCCAGTGTGTGAATGTGGGAGAGAGTACAAGAAGGTAAAGTTAGGGAAGTATGTTTAGGGAGGGCAGAGAGGCACACAGATTGTGTATGCCTTAATTTTAGGACTGTGCCTCTGGCTGAGGTACTGAGAGTGGATAAAGGGGAGTGGGTGAGGGTAGAGGCAGGAAGACCAAGGAAGAAGCTGCTGAGTAATCCAGGTGAGATTGGTGGCTTGGGTCAGAGTGGCAGAGTGGAGAGGGAAGAAGCGGTCAGATTCTGAGTATATTTTGAAGGTAGACAGGGTTTGCCGATGGGTGGGATGTTAGACAGGAGAGAAACAGAGGGGTTAAACCTAACTCAAAGGTTTTGGCCTGAGCAACTGGAATAATAGAATCGATGTTAAGTGAGGTAGAGAAGATTGAAGATAGATTTTGGGGGAGAAAGTTAGGAAATTGATTTTGCACATCTTAATGTATGAGCTCTCCAAATGGAGATGACAAAATGATAGTTGGATATAGGAGGGTGAGTTCAGGGAGAGGTCTGAGTTGGAGATATATATATATATATATGTATATATATATATATATATGTATATATATATATATTTGGGAGTCATTGGCACATAGATAAAGTTGTATGACTGGGTGGGGTCCCTGGAGGAGGGAGTGTTGGCAGAGATGTGAGGGGGACCAGGACCGAGACCAGGGGCAGTCCAATGTTAAGAGGTGGGGAGAAGAGAAGGAACAGGTAAAGAGAACTGTGATGGAGCATCTGGAAGAGAAAGAGGAAAACCGAGACTGTGGTGTCCTGGCAGCCAACTGTAAAAAGTTCAATAAAGGAAATCAATAGGGTGCCGTAATAGAACGTGCAAAGTAGTGGTGGAGGGAAGAGGCCCTCTCTGTGAAGGTGACACTTAAACTAAGACTTGAAGGGTAAGGAGCCAGCCATAGGGCAGAATTGGGGTCTGATTTGGGTGCCGAGTCCTTCAGGGCTGAGGGAACAGCAAATGCAATTGTCCTGGAGTGGAGGGAGCTTGGCATCTTCTAGGATCTACCGAAAGGCCACTGTGATGAAGAGGGAGAATGAGATATAGTTGGAGAGATGGACAGGGGCTAGACCATGCTGGTCTTGTAGGGCCTCAGCATCCTCTGCTGGTTCCTCCTCATTCCCAACCAACAGCCACAGTCCTTGGACCTCTTTTCTCTAGCTCTATTTGAGTAAATAGAGCTAGATTTGGAGATTTTAGGCAGTCTCATGGCTTCAGATGTCATCTGTTAAGCTGGTGACTCGCAAGTTTATACCTCTGGACCAGATCTCTCCACTAAACTCCAAACTCATATCCAACTTCTTACTCAGTGACTTCTCTTAGAGGTCTCACAGGCATCTCAAGCTTAACGTGTCTGAAAACAAATTCCTAATCTTCTCCCCATAGAAACCTGCTCTAGCCACAGCTTTCCCCATCTCACTTGATGGCAGCTTCATCCTTCTGGTTCTTTGGGCTAAAAATCATGGCATCATCCTTGACTCGTCTTCCTCCCATCTTGCATCTAGTCCATCACAATCCTGTTGACTCTACTTCTAGAATGCATTTGGGCCCTGAGCACTTCCCAGCACCTCCCACCACCACCGCTGTCATCTCCCTCGATTACTGCGGCAGGTTCTCACTGATCCCTGTGCACACCCCCTTGTCCCTTTCAGGCTGCTCCCAACCAGCAGCCAGAGTAATCCTCAGTTACATCAGTCCTCTGCTCAAAACTCTCCAAGGCTCCCATCTCATTCAGAGCAAAGGCCGGGGTCTTTGCAGTGACCCGCAGGGCCTTACATTGTCTGCTCCCCCCTCACCCCTCTCCCCAGCTCTCTAACCTGCCCCTTCTTCTTTCCTCTTGCTCACCCTGCTCCAGCCACACTGCCCTCCTGGCTGTTTCTCGACCATACTACCTGTGCTCCTGCCTCAGGTCCTTTGCAGATGCTGTCTCCTGGGTTTGGAATGCTCATTCCCCTTCTATCTGTATGATTTGCGATCTAACCTCCTCCACCCATTTGCTGAAATATCAGCTGTTTAGTGAGGCTTTGCTTTCTGCCCTGTTTAAAATGAGAAAATATTAAAGCTTTTTGCAGCAGCTGAAAAAAAAATTACACACATACTCCTCTGTATTTCCCCCACAATACCTTCCCTATTGCTCTTCTCTGCTCTATTTTTCTTCATGGCACGTACACCTTCTAACATACCATGTAAAGGACTGACTTGTTAGTCGTCTTCCCACTTAGACTGTAAGCTCCCTAGGGTTAGGAATTTTAGTCACTTTGTTCTCTCCTGGGCCCATGGTGCCCAGAACAGTGCCTGGCTTGTAGTCAGTACTTAATATTTATTGAATGAGCAGATGTGGAGATGTGGAAATGTATTGAGCAAAGTAATGACATAATCTATGTTTTTTTAACATCGACTTTGTTTGGTATAAAACTGACATACTGTGAAAGGCACAGATCTTAATGTTATAGTTTGATGAATTTTGACAGATGCGTATGGCTATCTAACCCACACCCCTATCATGATACAGTGTGTTTCTGTCACCCCCAGAAGCTTTCTTGTGCTTCTTCCCCATCGATCCCCACTCTCCCCACCCCTGTCCAGAGGCAGCCACTGTTCTGATTTCTTTCACGTAGATTAGTTTGGCCTGGTCTAGAGCATTATATAAATGGAATCATTCAGTGTGAATTCTCCAGCCTGGCTTCTTTGGCTCAGCCCGGTGGTCTTGACATTCATCGGGTTGGGATTGCGTCAGTAGTTCCTTTGTATCGCCGTGTAGGATCCATCCTGTGGACACACTGCAATGTGTTTATCTGTTCTCTTGTTTGGCCACATTTGGGTTGTTTCCATATTTTGACTATTATGACTGAATGTTCATGTTCAAGTCTTTCTGTGGATTTTTTTTTTTTTCATTTTTTTTGGGTAAATGCCTAGGAATGGAATTGGTGGGTCATAGGGTAGATGATGTTTAGCTTTATGAGAAGCTGCCAAAGTATTTTCTAAAGTGGTTGTACTGCCATTACGTTCCCACCAGCAATCTTTGCGAGTTCCAGTTACTCCATATCCTAGCCAACATTTTTATTCATGTTTTAACAAATTCATTCTGGCTTGTGTGTGGAGAACTGGCCTAATATTTCACTGTGCTGGCTTATTTGGAAAATGATGTTGGGAGGGGTGGGAATGCCTAAAAGGACACTCCCAGTAGGGCCCCCTCTCTGAACCAGGTGGTGCACATGAGCCTTGGGCCGTGTGACTGACACTCTGGAAACAGGGCTTTCTCCCCACGGGCTCTGTTATTTTCTTGTGTCAGATAATCTCAAGAAGGTTGCCAGACCCTTCTCATCCCTAGAGTGGGTTTGTGGTTGGTTTTTGTGTAGGGCCTGTTTAAGGTGGGGCTTATTCTTATGTCATTTTTTTGCCAGCTGAGCCAAGGAAATGTTCTTGGGTAACCTAGCCAAAGGTCAAGTCTCTGGAGCTGTTGTCTTTTCTTCCATAGCCAGAGCCCTGAAGTCTCTTTGGAGAGCTGAGCAAAAGAAGAGAAGCAGCTGGTGGAGAAATTTGCTGGATCATGCTGGGAGCATTGCTGCCCGGCATCTTCCTTGGGCAGGGCCAGTCCCTTAAATGTGTGAGAGATTGCAAGAGACATCGACTTCCTAATTTAGAACTGGAGCTGATGTTCTCCTTGAGAGAACTTCCTCCTGGAGGGCATGTCCTCAGAAGACCAAATTATTTATGAAAATGCTGCGTGGGGAGTACAGAATTAGTTTGCTGTGTGTTGGTGGGTATCGGGGTCCGTGGCTGTGATGTGCTTTCCCGGGGATGCTTCATTCTAAAGCACTGGAGGTGGTCTAGCACCAAATGCTGGTGTGGAGGGAAACTTGGGCTGACTCTTGCTCTTTGGCTGCCAGGCCTTTAGATCCTCTACAGATCAGTGTCCCTTATCTTTCTAGGCTGGATAAAATGCAATCGCTTACCCAGTGGTTGTCTTCATTTTCTGGTCCTGAGGCTGCGTCTGGTTAGCTTGGTTAGATCTGGAGGTTTCCCAGGCTTTGGTGGTGGTGTGTGTGTGGCTCGCCTTCTCAAGTGGGTGCCTCTCTCCTGTTCCATGTTGCTTTACCTGTTTCAATCTGAGCGGGACCTTTTGGCTGACCTTGGTCCCAAATTCCAGGTGCTTGTTACTGTACCTCTGTGTTCAGTTCAGCCTTTGTGTCAAGCCTTGGGGAGTGAGCTGTGAAGAAGCCAGACCCAGGCCCTGCCCTCATGGAACTTACAGTTTGGTGGGAAAGACAGAGATTAAGTCATTAGAAGTGTGATGAAGTTTATAAAAGTGGAAGTCAGGGTGCCACGGGAGCATCTTGCAGGGGGACCAAATGTGGTCTCCAGGGTGAAGGAAGCCTGCCTTGAGGAGTGGTATTTAAGGTCTTGAAGAATGAATAGGAGTTAGTTGGGCAAAGGTGGAGGGGTGTCTGAAGGCTCTGAGTGGAGACGGGAGGAGAGTCAAGGTAAGGCGGGAGAGAGGCCGGGCAGGGCCAGAGGTGAGCCAAGTGAGAGATCTGAGGCCTTTGTCCTGAGGAGAACTTGTTGATAAGGGTTTTCAGGTGTCTGTTGGGAGAGGGGCGTGGTCAGATCGGTATTTTTGAACGCTGGCTCTGGCAGCAGTGTGGAGATTAGATTAGGGGTGGGGAGGGGGAGGTTGTTACAAGAATGGAAGCCAGGGACTGTTTGGGAGGGTGTCACAGTATTCCAGGTATGGATGACCATGACTTGGATATGGGGATGGAGTGAGGTGGGATGGAGTGTGGCTGGGAGATGGAGAAACTGGGCAGGTTTGAAAGAAGTAAATTAGACAGGATTTGAAGTAGATTGGCAGCACAGGAGGAAAAATTAGGGCTGATTGAGAGTTTTCACTTCATGGGAACCAGAGAGGGGAAGCAGCGTTATAACTTCACTGCCTTGGCTGTTTCATTCATTGTGTGGGTGAAGTTTGTTCACGTGTTAGAGTTTGGAGATCCTGGAATTTCACTGAGATTCACTGGGGTTTTCAAAACCAGAAGATGGCTCTGGAGGTTGCTGAGGAGGGAGGTGGAAAAGTTAGAGACTGGGAGGGGTATTCTGTGAAGGACTGATCTAAGCGTGCTACAGACAGAAGCGATGTCTTGCAGGGCTTGGTGAAGGGTGAACGGGATTGTAAGACCTGTTAGATCCTCTTTGAACTGTGTGTGTAGTGCGAAGCCTCTGCTCTTTGTTGTGGGGCTTTGTTGGGGGACAGTAGGAAGGGGAACTTGGGTTCGACTCTGAAACCTACCAGTGCTGCAAGACCAGTATTCTCTGTACCTCTGTCATTGGAGAAGAAATCAAGGTTTGCCCTGGAGCGGGTGGGAGCTCAATGACTGCCCACCCTCACAGTCTAAGAATTTCACCGTTCCCAGCCCAAAGTGGTCTGCTTTTTGACTGATGAACAGTCCCTCAATTTCCAGCCCTTGATCTCACACCAACTCTCTGGGTTTTCTGGCCGTAGGAATTGGATTCAAGTACGTGGCTCTGGGAGACCTCATCATCCTCATCACTTTTGGCCCACTAGCAGTGATGTTCGCCTATGCCGTCCAGGTGGGGTCCCTGGCAGTCTTCCCATTGGTCTACGCCATCCCCCTCGCCCTTAGCACCGAGGCCATTCTCCATTCCAACAACACCAGGGACATGGAGTCCGACCGGGAGGCTGGCATCGTCACGCTCGCTATCCTCATTGGCCCTACCTTCTCCTACATGCTCTATAACACACTGCTCTTCCTGCCCTACCTGATCTTCAGCATCCTGGCCACGCACTGCAGCATCAGCCTGGCACTCCCCCTGCTCACCATTCCCATGGCCTTCTCCCTCGAGAGACAGTTCCGAAGCCAGACGTTCAACAAACTGCCCCAGAGGACTGCCAAACTCAACCTCCTGCTGGGACTCTTCTATGTCTTTGGCATCATTCTGGCACCAGCAGGCAGTCTGCCCAAACTCTGAGGGGACCGACAGCTCCCCCAAATGTGTTGCCCTTTCTTAGAGCGTGTTGAAGGCAGAGTCTCTGAGGAGGGAAGGTGATTTGGCAGAGAGGGACCTAAGGATGGCTGGGGAACTCCCACCTTTTTTTTATTATTTATGTTCTTAAAGATAATGTTTTGTTTTTGTTTTATTCCATTTTATGGGGAATCTTGAAACCACTCTGGTATCAGAAGGTCAATGGGATGCCTGGCCCATGTTTTATTTGTAATTTCCACTAGAGGGTGTTGTCAGGTCATTTTAAAGTGGATTAAAATGCCCTAAGACTTGGTGAAGGAGCCGCTGGCGTTGGCCCCCTGTCCTGAAAGGGCCATAGTAACTCGGCGAAGTGTCTTCTGTCATCTGGGTCTTGCAAGATACAATAATAATTGGCGCCAGGCCCCAGTGACACGGGGAGCACCTGTCTCTTCCTCTGAGCATTTGGGTCCTGAAATACACTGCTTGAGAGCGAAAGTCCCTCATTAACAGCCTAACGTGGCTCCCGGCTTTTTGCCTAAATTGTGATTCTGACGCTTTAGTCCTTCATCTCTCCTTTCATTTATTGCCACAGTTGAAGAAAAGTGTCAGATAACCCTGCAGCAAGACCATCAAGCTGGGGACTGGGAAGGAAAAAAAAACCACCCTCAAGGCAGCTGAGAAATCACTCTGCTTTTGGATAGAAATTGGTAGGATGGCTGTTTTCCCTTTTCGGAATCCACTAGAATGACAGGAAGGACTCCCAGCCCTTTCAGTAACTGTTAGGAGCCCTGAAATTGTAGAGGCACTGATGTCCTTGCAGGCTACTTGAAGCCCACAAGGCAGCTGCTTCCCCTGCCCCCATTGGCCCTCCTGATGCTCCACTGCGCCCACCCTCCGTTTCTTTCAGGTTCTCATTGGTGTATTTCCCATCCGTGGAGCCCAGTTGTTTGGGCAGCAGCTTAGCAACTGAGTCAGGGAAGCTGCCACTCTCCACAGAGCCACGGATGAGCAGACCAGGGACCTCAGCTCCTCCGTGGATGAGAAGGCCCATAGACAACAGTCCTGATCCTGGGCAGCCGGAATGACAGGGCTTGCCAGTGAAGGAACTGTGTCTTCCTCCTTGAAGACGGAAGTGCAATAATGACCCTGCTTCTCCCAAAGGCTTCAGTTGCCTTGTGCAAAGATCGTTTGCACTCTGAAGGGGGAATTCCAATGTTCATCGAAGCTGCTTTTTCATTTAATTTCATTGCCTGTGAAGTATAGTTTCTGGCCTAGAATTGCTCAGTTGTATTTGGTTCAAGACAAATAGGTTGAGGCCATGATTGTTAGACTTTTCTGTTGTGACCGTAGACGTCCTGACAGGTATTGCAGTCTTGGCCTGCAGAAAATGGCATAAGAACTAGTTCTTAATCCTTAAAATCAGGCTAATTATGATTTGGCTCCTTGAGTCGGAATTGGGCAGCTTACTTGGAAAAAATATATTTGGAAATTGCAAAAGTTCCTCTAGGTGGTTTGTCTGCAGAGATCCGGAATCCTCTAATAGTGGTCAGAGCTCAGTGACGAGGGAAAGGACAGCCTTTCTCTCCTGCCTTTCTTTCCAGCACCATTTTTGTTTTATGCCAGGCTTGTGGCATTTCGGTGCTCACAGGGGTCCTGCCTTCAAAGATATGCTCTTCGGGTTCCTCTTCTGAGTAGGCCATTCTTGCATGGGGCTCCCCCCAAGGCTGTAGGACCAAGACCTCCCTGCGTCTACACACCAGACCCACCCTTGTAAGCACTCCCATCGGGGGTGTCAGTTAACCTGCACTGCGTTCTGGTGCAGATTTTAGTGCATATTTTTATATATAAATATTTCTGAAAGGCCCAATTTGGTGCCAGATTTTATATACAGGTCACCATAATTTGTATTACATCCCCTGACTCAATGAAGATTTTCTTTAGACCTATTAATAAAAAAAAAAAGAAAATGTTTATCAGTGGTCTGGCTTCCAGTGTTTCTTTGCTTTCCTCCTGCTTCTTATTGTCTGATTGTGAACTCTGATTCATAAATCTCAGGAGACCAGCGCAGGGATGTTGGGACATTTGGTGGGGGTGTGGGTGGGATACCTGATCTTTGGTGATGAATTTGGGTAGAGCTTGACCATATTTAATGAGCCCCTGGAGCAGACAGTAGTGAGCACTCAGAGCCACTATAGATTTGCCAAGAGCCAGTCAGGCCAGGTTCACCTCATTTCCTTCTGTCTTTTCCTGCTTTCATTTTTCTTTTTTCTCGATAGGGTCCCTGTGCTGATAGATTAAGAACATGTAGAAGACAGAGTATGTTTGGGTTTTATCTAGGTGCTTGACAATGGATCCTTATGAACAAAGCAGAGAGGTGTGGAATGGATAACGGTCTAGTTGGATGAGTTTCTGGGAAACAAACTGCGGGAGAGCCGACTGCTCAGCGAGTCAGTGTCAGTGCGAAAGGAAGCCTTTAGTAGCACCTGTGAGCCTGCCCGCTGCCCTTTGCTCGGCCAGGTTCAGCACCTGCTGTCAATGACTAGAATTAGGCAGCCCAAATCACAGGTTCTGTACACCTTGGAGGAAGAACTTAGAACAAATCAAGAAGCTGCTTTGATGTGTCAAAGGAAAAATTTAGCATGAATAAATGTAAAGCTATATACTTGGGCCCCGGAAGTCAACTGTATCACATCAGAGGGGCAAGATCTCTGGGGTGACAGCAGTAGCTGTGGTCGGTATGAATTTTATTGATGACTCTGGGGTACGACATCACATGCCTTTATTTCTGAGTCAGATTTTTTCTGCTCCCCAGTGGGGTGGCTGGAAATTCAACCTTAGTCGCCTCTTGGGCCTGGTCCCATCCCTCTGGGACCCCTGGGCCTCAGTGGGGCGGAATCTAGGATGTTGGCTGAGCCCTGCTCTGTTTGCTCAACATCTGTAAGGTCCCTTCTCTGCTACTTCATGCTGAGGTTCGGCCTGGAATCTACCCTTGTTTCTTGGACAGTGCTCTAGAAGGGTTCAAGATGCCCCTTGACAGCAGCCCTCCTTGCTGATGAGTACTATGGGCTTGCAGGCCACTTGTCACTGCCACCTCATCCCCATTTGTACCCAGTGTGGGGGAGGCACCCATTCTCTCCATGATCTACCTTGTCCACCTGCCCTAGTCAAAGCATTTCCCTCCTTCTGCACCCTTGCAGGACCTTTGCACAAAATCCCAGCCTAGGGCCTTTAGAAGCTCAGCACTGGCCTCTTCTGGAGTGGAGCAGTGAAATACGTCAGTGTCATCTTACTAACTCTTCTGTTACTTCTGCATTAATACAAACAAAAATCTGAGCCTGTGACATGGCCCAAAGCTCAGTTTGAGTCAGTAATGAGCTCTGACTTCCATGAAGGTTAATGTGATCCGAGGTGCAATTAAGAGGAGTTTAGTGTCCCGAACAAGAAAGGCACAGGTCCTGCCCATCCCCCTGTCGTCGGATCATAGGTCGGGGCTGGGCCGTTTCTGGGCACCTTTCCTTTTTAGTTTCGTTTTTCTTGTTAGAGCAAGTATGGTGCTAGATCAAGAGCATGCCGTGGATATAGTACACTCGGATTTCAGCAAGGCATTTGACGATGTGCTATGAAATGGGGAATGGATGAAAATACGGTTAGAGGAACTTTATGTGCACGTGTGTGTGTGCGGGTGTGTGCACATACGTGTCTGTTTTCACTTTGGTAACAGCTGTGGCAGGGGTTCTGCATCTCAGTATGGGAACCACGTTTTGCAGATGTTATTAACAAACTGGATCTTGACCAGAAAGCAGGAGGCAGACAGCTTATGGCCATGTCAGCATGGAAAGGGGACTTGCAAGAGGGCTGTCCTGGGGAAAAGGGATTGGGCCTTTTTTTTTTTTTTTTGCGTGTAACTTCAAAAACAAAACTGGGACCAAATGAGTGCAAGTTATGTGGCCCCAAGTTTAAGCTCTTAGGTCAGGAAGGACTTTCTAGCCACGAGAGGAATCAGCAAGTGAGATGTTTGAAATGTCCCAATGGGCGGTGAGTTCCCTGTGACTAGACGCATTCAAGCGAAGGGTTGATTCCCTGTCAGGAACACTGAAGCGAAGAGTTGCATATCAGAGAGGGGGTGTATGAGAAGACCTTAAGGGTCTTCTGATCCCTCGATGTGGTTGTTCTGTTATTACAGGCTTGTGTCTCAGACCTGCCCCCAGGGGTTGGGAGGACAGAGTACAAGAAATGTGTTGACATTTCCTCTGCGATGTCAGATTGTTGTCTGCCCGTTTTAACAGGCAGAGCTGTGATCGATATTCCTTTTTTTTTTTTTAAGATTATACACGTGTGTGCACGTACACACACGTACGCACACACATGCACACACAGTTGATTTCATCCTCGAAAGCCCTTGAAGCAAGGTGGATGACAGCTCCTTTCCTCTGAGCCCCGTGGACCACTCTGCTGCTAATGGACTGTCAGCTCTTTCGCGACAGGCTCCAGACTGTGCCGGCTGGTGTAAAAGTAGTGCCTCTGGCGAGGACCTGGCACTTGCGTCTCAGCCAGTTGACATTTGTGATTTGCCCTTCTTCACATTGGGACAGCCCTCCCACCATGGGTGACTAAGCCAGGCTGCCAAATGGTGGTGTAAACCAGGTCAGTTCCCCTGCCTGGAGGGGTGACAAGATTTGCAGACAGGTTCCTGGGGTGGAGGAGAGGCTATAACTGTCAGGCACAGGCCTGTTCCGTGCTCCTGACCCACCTCAAGATGCGGGAGCTCTGGGAGGGTCTTGAGAGGGACAGTGAAGGTCTTGATCACAGGCACTCAGCCAGGTTTCAGGGGTCAAGGGAGGTTGGTCTGGGGCCCTGTTATGATGCTAATATGTCCAGAGAGGCAGTCCTCTGTGTGGTGTGACTCCAGGGCCACCTCAAGTCCACATTCACTCCTGCCATATCCTTATCCTTCTGTCCCCCAGCCTGCCTTAGAATTGTCTCCCATTAGGGTCACAAGTGGGTTGAACAGGGAAGGGCCCAGCATGGTGTGTGTGTGACACATCTATCAGTTTGTCAACACATCTATTGTCAACCTCCCCCGGTAGGTGGTAGGCCTCGAGTGCAAGGACTCTGTTTTATTTATCATCTTCAGTCATTAGTAGCGCAGTCGTGGGGACGACAGAGCAGGGGCTCCATCACTGGTTGTTGACTGAGTTACAGGGAGTGGGTGGACCGTCTAGGGCTGACCAACAGGCGGCAGAGCTTTAAGTGGGCATGAGTTGTGCTGCCCCTGAGCAGTAAGTGCGGGTGAATTCCACTTGAGGTTGGACGTGGAAGGGAAATATGCCAGGAACTCTCAAGATCTCTAAGGTCCAGCTCATCTTCCTGGAACATGGAAGCCTCTAAATAAATGTTTGCTGAATACCTGAGTGAATGACAGTAATAAAGCTATCACTATGTTCCAGGCATTGTTCTAAAAGCTTAGATACATTCTTTTAATCTCCATAACAACCCCATGAATAGGATATTAAGATCTTTTTTTCATAAGAGGGGAAACCAAGGTTCAGGGAGGTTATTAAATTTGCCCAGGGTCATCCAGCTAGTGATGGAAGCACGATGCAAACCTTGGACTATTTCAGTGCCAGTTCTGCTCCTCGTCTCTGTCTTTGTGTGTCTTGCAGTGCCTTCTACAGTGGGGACTCAGTTGGTCTGCCCTTGGGAGTGGGAGGGTAGTGGGGAAGGGAGAACAAGACTGATGGTGGGGGTGCCTGGGAAAGGGGGCTTCGGAAGCGTCAAAGAGTGACACAGCCTTCACAATTTCCCTGGCCCCACCAATGCTCTCAGCCTTGGCACTGGTCTGCTGCCCTCTGGTCTTCAAGGCGAGGCCCCCTCAGCCCCTCCGCCTGTGTCCTCCAACGCCTCCAGGAGGCTGGCCCTACAGGGATAATAATTAAGCCTGCTGTGTAACCAGCTCTGGCTGGTTGGACTAAGGTTTTAGGTCAAAGTTTGCCCATCCTTGAATAATGGAGAGTGGCCACTGCCCACCCACAACAACACAGGAAGGTCCATTCTCAGGTTAAATTTCTACTCCTTCCTCTATCTGGCTGTCTTCATTTTCTCTGTTTACTGTGGTCCTCACCCGGCCACTGCATCAGAGTGCCCACATCAGGAAC